CGGTGGGCACTGCAGGTGAAATGGTCTTTTGTGTGTTTGAATCATATCCTTAATTCTTAGTACCTTCTGCAGTATTTAGGAATAATGTCTTGCAATTGTACAAGTTACTTAAATGGTACAGCAAAAAAATTTTGTATACACAGATATAGAGCAAAGTGGTAAATTATTAAGGACTAGTGAATCTTGGTGAAGATTGTTATGGAGTTTTTAACTCAGTTGGCAAAATGCAAAAAAAGTTCCCAAATTCAGACTTTTAAGAACGGTATAATACTTCCAGATATTAAGCAATACTATAAAAAACAAAAAAGAAAATCCTCCAAGTAATATAAGGAGACTGGTAGGATACAAGGTGTATTGGTTTGAATAGTGTCCCCCAAAGTCCTTCCACCCAGTACTTCAGAATGTGACCTTCTTTTTTTTTTTTTTTTTTTCTGTCTCTTCAGAACCAAATGCCTCAAGAGGACTGCTGTGCTCATTCTTGGCACTGGCATGTCTCCCATTCTGTTTTCACCAGACCAGTCAGGCTTTCACCCCTAGATGCCCCTGAAAATTTCCTTTAGCAAGGCTAAATATTGTGGTCAGACTGGGAGCCATGGCTCACACCTGTAATCCCAGCACTTTGGGAGGCCGAGGTGGGCGGATCACCTGAGGTCAGAAGATTGAGACCAGCCTGGCCAACATGATGAAACCCCACCTCTACTAAAAATACAAAAATTAGCCAAGCATAGTGGCAGGCGCCTGTAATCCCAGCTACTCAAGAGGCTGAGGCAGGAAAATCTTTGGAGGCAGAGGTTGCAGTGTGCCAAGATTGTGCCACTACACTCCAGCCTGGGCGACAAGAGTGGCACTCTGTCTTGAAAAATATATATATATATATTGTGGTCAATTCTCATCACTACTTAGCTTAGTTCACTTTTCAGATGATCATTCTTCTATCTTTTTTTTTTTTTTTTTCTTTTTAAGAGATGCGGTCTTGCTCTGTTGCCCAGGCTGGAATGCAGTGGTGTGATCAAAGCTCACTGCAGCCTCAAACTCCTAGGCTCAAGCAGTTTTCCTGCATCAGCCTCATGAGTAGCTAGGATTACAGGGGCATAACTCTATGCCTGGCTAATTTTTAAACTTTTTGTAGAGATGGGGGTCCTGCTATGTTGCCCAGGCTGGTCTTGAACTCCTGACTTGAAGTGATTCCCCCTGCCTTGGCCTCCCAAAGTGTTGAGATTATAGGAAGAAGCCACTGTGTCTGGCCTACTCTTCTATCTTGAAACACTTTCTTCATTTGTCTTTGGTGGCACCACTTTCTGGTTTTAATTCTACCTTAAAAGAGGCAGTCTCTTTTGCAGCCTCCTCTAGAAGACCTCTAAATGTTAAGAGTAGCCACTACTGGCTGGGTGCAGTAGCTCACGCCTGTAATCCCTGCACTTTGGGAGGCCAAGGCAGATGGATCACCTGAGGTCAGGAGTTCAAGACCAGCCTGGGCAACATGATGGGCAACATGATGAAACCCCATCTCTACTAAAAATATAAAAAATTAGTAAGGCTTGGTGGCAGGCACCTGTAATCCCAGCCACTCAGGAGGCTGAGGCAGGAGAATCACTTTAACTCAGGAGGTAGAGGTTGCAGTGAGCTGAGATTGCATCACTGCATTCCAGCCTGGGTGACAAGAGTAAAACTTCGTCTCAAAAAAAAAAAAAAAAAAAAAAAGAATAGTCACTACCTGCACTAACTCTCTAGGGGACCTCAGCCAGTGCCATGGCTTTAAATGGCAGCCAAATGCCAATGAATCCCAATTTTTATTTTTATTTATTTATTTTGAGACAGGGTTTTTCTCTGTTGCCCAGGCTAGAGTACAGTGGTGTGATCATAGCTCACTGCAGCCTTGACTTCCTGAGCTCAAGCCATCCTCCTGCCTCAGCCTCCCAAGTAGCTGGGACTACCGGTGTGTACCACCACGCATGGCTAATTTGTACATTTTAGGTAGAGATGGGATATCCCTGTGTTGCCCAGGCTGGTCTCCAACTCCTGGGCTCAAGTGACCCTCCCAACTTGGCCTCCCAAAGCGTTGGGATTCCAGGCAGGAGCCACCAGGCACAGCTGCATCCCAAGTTCTCATGTGTAAGCCTAAACTCTCCCTGAGCTCCAGACTTGCATATTCCACAGCCTACTCAGCATCTCTGCTTGGATCACTAGTAGTCATCTCCAACTTAACATATGGAAAGCAGACACCTTTAGGTATGCCCTTCAACCTGCCCTTCCCTCTTTACCATCTCACATGACTGTACCCCCATTCAGCTGCTCAAGTCCAAACCTATTGATCCTTCTTGATTTCCCTCTTCGCCTCCATATCCATTTACAATCCACCTACATGTTGTGGGTTTTACATTAAAAATGTATGATGAACACCCTGCCTTCTCACCACTGTCCACCACTAACATCCTAATCCAAACCACTCAGAACCCCAGCTTGCACTGCTCTTGCCCCCATTCAGACTACCCACTATAAATACCTGCAGTAATTATCTAAAAACATAAACCAGGATGATGGTTGATAGGGTTTGGCTGTGTCTCCACCCAAATTGCATCTTGAATTGTAGCTCTCCTAATTCTCACGTGTTGTGGGAGGGATCTGGTGGGAGATAACTGAATCATGGGGGCAGTTTCCCCCATACTGTTCTCACGGTAGTGAATACGTCTCATGAGATCTGATGGCTTTCTAAGGGGAAACCCCTATCACTTGGTCCTCATTCTCTCTTGTCTGCTGCCATGTAAGACGTGCCTTTTGCCTTCTGCCATGATTGTGAGGCCTCCTCAGCCACATGGAACTGTGAGTCCGTTAAACCTCTTTTTCTTTATAAATTACCCAGTCTCAAGTATATCTTTATCAGCAGTGTGAAAACGGACTACCACAATGGTGGAAGTGGTAGCATTGTTTTTGAATTTAAACAAATACCCCCATAAAAACAGAGCAAACAGGATAGCAAAACTGTAAAAAAAAAACAGCAAACAAACAAAAAAACTACAGATAACATATACAACAAAACTACAGGAAGAGGTACCCTCAAAATGGCAAAATTCTAGCAGACAGAGACAAAATACTACAGCTAAGACTTGTGTGGTTTAGGCATCTGTGCAGGAAAAAGCAAAGGGGGACAATGTGGGGTGTCTGACAGACCTGAGAACCCCAAAATAACCAGCAGGTGTCCATAAGCATAGCAGGCTGATTTGAGAAGAGCAGGTAAGACTGGGAGTGAGAATATGGGATGTCTGGCAAAGTTTGAAGTGGCTAGAGGTGATTAATCAGGGAGGGAGAAAGGTGAGTGTGATTAGGTACAGGGCATAAGCCTTAAGGGAAGGTAAAAGAGTTCTCTCTCTTCATTTGGAGAATCCGGGTTGAAGGGTATATGAAAACTCTTAGTACAACTTTCCAACTTTTCTGTAAGCCTGATATTATCTTATAAAAATTGTTATTTAAATTTTTTATTTTACTTTAAGTTCTGGGATATGCGTGTACAACGTGCAGGTTTGTTACATAGGTATACATGTGCCATGGTGGTTTGCTGCACCCATCAACCCGTCATCTAGGCTTTAAGCCCTGCATGCATTATATATTTGTCCAAATGCTCTCCCTCCCATCGTCCCCCAGCCCCCGTAAAAATGTTTTATCTTTTGACCAGAGTGATGGTTAGAAAGGTATCTGCTTTATAACTCATGAAGCTGTACATTTTAATATTGTTTTTCTGTTATCTGTTTCCTATTTAATAGAATTTTCCAAAATTCAAAAATTGGAAAAATGTAAATTAGGTCATAGTTTCTAGTTACATTAGAAAATAATCCAAATTCCCGGCCAGGCACTATGGCTCATGCCTGCAATCTCAGTACTTTGGGAGGCCAAGGCAGGAGGATCACTTGAGCCCAGGAGTTCAAGACCAGCCTGAGCCACACAGTGAGACCTTGTCTCTACTGAAGATTAAAAAAATTAGCCAGGTGTGTGCCGGGCACGGTGGCTCATGTCTGTAATCTCAGCACTTTGGGAGGCTGAGGTGGGCGGATCACGAGGTCAGGAGATCGAGACCATCCTGGCTAACACAGTGAAACCCCATTTCTACTAAAAATACAAAAAAATTAGCCAGGCGTAGTGGCGGGCGCCTGTAGTCCCAGCTACTCGGGAGGCTGAGGCAGGAGAATAGCGTGAACCCGAGAGGCGGAGCTTGCAGTGAGCTGAGATCGAGCCACTGCACTCCAGCCTGGGTGGCAGAGCGAGACCCCATCTAAAAAAAAAAAAAAAAAAAAATTAGCCAGGTGTGGTGGCGTGTGCCTGTAGTCCCAGCTACTCAGGAGGCTGAGGCAGGAAAATGGCTTGAGCCCAGGAGGTCGAGGCTGCAGTGAGCTATGATTGCACCACTGTATGCCAGCCTAGGTGACAAAAGAAGACTGTATCACTCAAAAACAAAACAAAACAAACAAATTCAAATTCCTGCTAGCACTCTAGCTTTTTCCTTCTTACTCTTCTCCCATTAATTCTGCCCGAACCTACTTACTGCTCCTGAAACACACAAAACTCATTCCCACCTAAAGCATCCACATCTGCTATTCCCTCTGCTTGGCATGTCTTACATAATTACACAGCCTGAACTCTCACTTCTTGTTCCTGTCTCTGTTCAAATATTACTGTCTAAGAATATATGAATAAATCCAAATGCAAAAGAGGAGGTGAAAGCAGTGAAATTCAAAACACAGATGGAATAATGCACTGGGAAAGTGACTAAGTCCATAATAAACTGAGAGGGAAACAAGAGGTGAGTGAGTATTAAAATGGGTAAAGATGAAGTTCCTTTGGAGAGGCTGGTGAGATTATCTCTTTCTTACCCAAATCTCAGCCTTTTTCTATGCAGGCCCTAGGGCTTTGAAGGGAAACTTCCAAACATGGCAGAGATGCACCTCCTCCCTGACGGCTGGGCTGTTTCCAGCAACGATGGCCTCCCTACCTGCCATGCTCTTACTCACCTGTGCACCACCTTCTTCCATCTTTCCTCTCTGTCACCTTAGGCTCTTTCCATCGTTCCAATAAGGCGATCACATGTGGTTTAGAAAGGGAATGTCCTGCTTATGAGATAAGAATGTAGAAAAGAAATATGAGTTCAAAAATACTTTCAACTTTGGTTAAATTTGCCATAAATGAAAGGTCAAACGATATTGACCTTTATATCTCAGAGATGAGAAGGGTAAGAGGATTCATAATTCCAGATAGGTAGAGAAAGGTTTTATTTATTTATTTATTTAGAGGTGGAATCTCACTCTGTCACCAGGCTCGACTGCAGTGCGCGATCTCAGCTCACTGCAACCTCTGCCTCCCGGGTTCAAACGATTCTGCTGCCTCAGTCTCCCAAGTAGCTGGGACTATAGGCATGTGCCACCACGCCCAGCTGATTTTTGTATTTTTAGTAAGGATGGGATTTCACCATGTTGGCCAGGATGATCTCAAACTCTTGACCTTGTGATCTGCCCACCTTGGCCTCCCAAAGTGCTGGGATTACAGGCATGAACCACCACGCCCAGCTGAAAGGTTTTATTTTAAATGAAATCTATCTATCTATTATAAACATAGATAAGTGTATACTCATTTATTTTTTTGTGTCTTGATAAAAAACGGGGCCCAGGGGCTCATGCCTATAAAATTCCAGCACTTTGGGAGGCCAGGGTGGGCAGATCATTTGAGGTCAGGAGTTCGAGACCAGCCTGGCCAACATGGTGAAACCCTGTTTCTACCAAAAATACAAAAATTAGCTGGGTGTGATGGTGTATGCTTGTAATCCCAGCTACTAGGGAGGCTGAGGCCGGAGAATCGCTTGAACCTGGGAGGTGGAGGTTGCAGTGAGCTGAGATCATTACACTCCACTCCAGCCTGGGCAACAGAGTGAGACTATGTCTAAAAAAAAAAAAAAAAAAAAAGTATGACATTGTGATTGAGAACACGGATTGTGGAACCTAAGTGCCTGGGTTCAAGTTTCTGCTACCGTCACCTATGGGCTGTGTGGTCTTGCATAACTCACTTAAATACACTGTGCTTTAGAATTCTCATCTAAAATGGTTAGCACCTATAGAGTGCTTGTAAGGATAAAAATCAGTTAATACAAATATATATTAATATAAAGAGCAGAGAAGAGTGAACCAGCACACAGTAAGCACACTGTGTGTTACTAACATTATTATTGTTATTTTGCTAAGAGAAAACAAAGTCTCCTTAGACATCTACATCTATAGGATATAGGTTTAATTTGCATTTACTCTTAAATGCAAACTTCAGAGATGATGAATTTTAACCACAAAATCAGATTATATCATACGAAATAAAATGAGGTAGCTCCAGTTTTAAATGATTTGTTTATCCAATCCGCCGGCATATAAGTTGTATAGGCTCTTCACATAGAACAAATCAAGACCCTTTGTCTAGCTGTTTTGCCTGCAAGGTGGGTCAGATTTTCACAGAACGTTCAGAGCAATTCAGAGCAAAAACATAATAGAAAACCTGGCCTCTTTTGTCAATGTTTTGCAATAAACAATCCAGAATTCTAATCCTGACACTGGATCATTTCCAACCTAACAAAGCTCAAATGATTTCTCTGGCAACAAGAAGAAATTGTGTTCAGTTCTTAAGATAGCCCTAAAATCTATAATGGAGAAAGTATAAAGGGAGCAGATTCTCAATTATTTGAGAAAGGTACACTTACCCATTGACACCAAGTTCCTGTAGTTCTCCAACATCACATCTCTGTACAAGCCCCTCTGGGAAGAGTCCAGACTCTCCCACTCCTGCTGGGAGAAGGCTATGGCCACATCCTCAAATGTCACTGATCCCTGAAACTGCAAACCCACATATTTCTGGTGAAATCAAAGAAAATGCTTTCAAGGTGAAAGGAGAGGAAATAAACGTTTCGATGTAGTAAGGGAACAATAACATAGGCTGGAAGCTTATAACATGGGAAGTGGATGAGCATAGTATCTGCATGTTCTAGAAGAATCCTGCTGCTATGGACAAAATGTCCTATATATTGTAGGATATCACAATACTCCATATCTGTGGTGAAATGGACAAAATAATCCTAGTTTCCCTTTTATGTAAAAGAGTATATACAAAGATATTGCCTGTTAGGTATCCAACTAAACAAATTCTCAAAAAGGATTAGTCTCTATATTACTCTTCCTTTAAGAGGAAAATAGCTATGATTTCTTTCTCCAACTGTAGAATAAAATCTGTCTTAGAAAATAGCCATGACACAAATTTGTTGAATAACTCCTCAAGCTTCAAGTTCATTATGGTCAGATCGTAAGTGTTTTTCCTTGTATTAATAAACACTTTTTTCCATAGTGACATAAAAGTTATCTTGTGGATCTATATTGAGTTAGTAACTTTGCGAGGCTGAGGTGGGCAGATCACTTGAGGTCAGGAGTTCGAGACCAGCCTGGCCTACATGGTGAAACTTGTCTCTACTAAAAATACAAAAATTAGCTGGGCGTTGTGACAGATGCCTGTAATCCCATCTACTTGGGAAGCTGAGGCAGGAGAATCACTTGAATCCAGGAGGTGGAGGTTGCAGTGAGTCGAAATTGTGCCACTGTACTCTAGCCTGGGTGACACAGCGAGACTGTCTCAAAAAAAAAAAAAAAAAAGTAATGATTTTATACTTATAAATGAAGACTGAACCAAACGCCTCGGGTTCCCCAATTCTGGTAATCTGTTAATCTACTACTGATAACAATATACTTACAGTGTCACACAATATCCTTCACTTAATATTTTGTCTGTTGTTTTTTAAAATTTTTTTGAGACAGAGTCTCACTGTGTTGCCCAGTGTGTAGTGCAGTGCTATGATCATAGCTCACGGCAACCTTGAACTCCTGGGCTCAAAGTGTCTTTCTGTCTGAGGTTCCCAAGTAGTTAGGACTACAGGCAGGTGCCCCCATGCCTGGCTAATTAAAAAAATTTTTTTTGGTAGAGACAGGGTCTTGCTATGCTGCCTAGGCTGGTCTTGAACTCTTGGGCTCAAGGATCCTCTCACCTTGGGCTCCCAAGGTCCTGGGTTTACAGGTCTGAGCCACTGCACCTGGCCATTTGGCTATGCTTGAGTTAATGGATTAGGGTGAAAATGACTCAGAACCAAACGCATGTTGTCCAAGTCTGGCAGGTCCCATTCCATAACAAAATTGACCTAGTATCACTCTTGGGCATCCCAAGAAGAATCATATCAATGTTTCACGTCACAATCACATTCCCAATCAATCTTTTTTTTTTTTTTGAGACGGAGTCTCGCTCTGTCGCCCAGGCTGGAGTGCAGTGGCCGGATCTCAGCTCACTGCAAGCTCCGCCTCCTGGGTTCACGCCATTCTCCTGCCTCAGCCTCCCGAGTAGCTGGGACTACAGGCGCCCGCCACCTCGCCCAGCTAGTTTTTTGTATTTTTTTCAGTAGAGACGGGGTTTCACCGTGTTAGCCAGGATGGTCTTGATCTTGTGACCTCGTGATCCGCCCGTCTCGGCCTCCCAAAGTGCTGGGATTACAGGCTTGAGCCACCTCGCCCGGCCCCCCAATCAATCTTAAAAGCCTCAGAGAGCATGTTATCTCAACATATTGAGACCAATTAGTACAAAATTCCATCTTATCAGCTCTGTGGAAAACTTCAAATCTTCTGATGTGTGGCCAAATAAGGCAACAGATGGAACTCATCGAACCACAGCTGGATGTAGGAAGCTCAAATACTTCTGCCATGGGACTTCAATCCTTCACTGCTCTATCACAGCCTTTCAGCTAAGACTTACTATTTACCTGCTCAGAATTTGCTCAATGAATTCAGGAACATCAATTAGAAACGAGGACCTTGTAAGGAGGAAACAATACTTTGACATCTTTCTGCCACACAGAAGGAATCAAGTAGGCAATTAGATGGTGTACTCTGATGCAGAATGCTTCAGCTCAATTAAGGAAAATAGCCACATAATGTAAAAATCCCAATATTTCAAGAAGAAACACCAACTTACGTGGGCCATGCTTTGAGAACTCTTAAGAACTGATCAGTCTTCACTGGGGTTCCTCTATCTGAGAAGTTCAAACTCTAGAAAATCCAGAAAGAGGAAAAGGAGGCTTTAGTGTTCTCAATGACATACATTAATAAACCTTCTTGTCCCTCCATTTCAGCTTCCGAACTGTGCTACAAAAACCCTCAAACAAAATTTGGAGAACAGTGGAATTCAAGCCCCAGTGAAGCTGTAGAGAGTTGGATGCAGAAGAGTGGCGCTTCTTAAGGAAGGCAGAATCAGACACAATCTTTCCCACTAGGCCCTCATTTTGGGAATGTCGATCCAGGTCTCAAATTGGGCTGCACAGTCCTCTCTTGAACAGATTCTCCTCACTCCATTCCCATGTTCTAAGCCTAAGAAAGAGTCCACATCACCCAATCCAGAGCTTCTTTAATGGTGGCAGTATAAATCTGAGGTTGGTCAGGACATGGGAGATAGAGAACACAGGAGAAAATGATTAGGCAGTTACTAATATGGCTCAGTTTTCTCATCACTAAAATAGTAATAGGAATATCAGCTCCAACATGTGGTTGTCCTGAAGAATAAGAAAACCCACCCCCAAAACTTAATAGAATACTTGTTTAATATGAGTTAGCTCTTTTTTTTTTTTTTTTTTTTGAGACAGAGTCTTGCCCTGTCACTCAGGCTGGAGTGAGTGCAGTGGCGCCATCTTGGCTCACTGCAACCTCTGCCTCCAGATTCAAGCGATTCTCCTGCCTCTGCCTCCCTCCTGAGTAGCTGGGACTACAGGTGCAGTCAAGCCCAGCTAATTTTTGTATTTTTAGTAGGGAGGTTTCACCGTGTTGGCCAGGATGGTCTGTATCTCCTGACCTTGTGATCCACCCGCCTCGGTCTCCCACAGTGCTGGAATTACAGGCAAGAGCCACAGCGTGCGGTCGAGTTAACTCTTATTATGGTAGTTCCCTCTTTTTCACAGGGGGGAGATACACTCAAAGATCCTCAGTAGATGTCTGACCGAACCCCACATATACTATGTTTTTTCTTATACCTACACACCTATGATTACGTTTAATTTATATATTAGGCATCATAAGGGAATTTTTTTCTTTTTTTTTTTTTTGTTGTTTTGTGACAGGGTCTCGCTCTGTTGCCCAGGCTGGAGTGCAGTAGTGTGATCTCGGTTCACTGCAACCTACACCTCTTGGGAGCCTCCCGAGTAGCTGGGATTACAGGGGCCTGCCAAAACGCCTGGCTAACTTTTGTATTTTTAGTAGAGACAGGGTTTTGCCATGTTGGCCAGGCTGGTCTCAAACTCCTGACTGCATTGGAGTTGTTATTACATAAACATTATACAACCTTTATTTCATTTTAATTAAAGAAACACTTTGTTTCCACTTAATTTATTTATGTATCTATTTTTTTTCAGAGACAGGGCCTTGCTTTGTCGCCCAGGCTGGATTGCAGTGGCGTCATCTCCACTCACTGCAACCTCCACCGACTCCCAGTTTCAAGCACTTCTCCCACCTCCGCCTCTCAAGTAGCTGTGACTACAAGCGCGCGCCACTACACTTGGCTACTTTTTATATTTGTAGTAGAGACGGGGTTTCACCATGTTGCCCTGTTGCTGGTCTCGAACTCCTGAGCTCAGGCAATCCACCCGCCTCAGCTTCCCAAAGTGCTGGGATTACAGGCATGAGCCGTGCCACCCGACCTGTTTCCACTTTTTACTTAAAACGTGTTTCTCTGGCATGCTTTCTTTTAATTCTAACTAAAAAATTGAGCAACTCTTCTTTAAAAACAAACAAAAAACCAACAGAAAAGATTCTCTGATGTTTAAATTTCCTCTGTCCCCTAGCAGCTAGAGAGAGAGAGCTACTGCTGTGGGATAATGCAAAATTGAAGACCCTTAAGAAAAGGCTGGGTCCTATTTCTGTGCAATATGGAGATTGACGGAAATGTGTACAGCTGTCATCTTGCTCTCCTTTCTTACATAATTTTGTCATTAGGAAAGTAATCTGCACAACAGATACTTTGAAGTCCTTTTCCCTGCACTGATAATTTTCAGATGACATTGCTCTCATCTTTAAAAAAGGTGTAAATACTTACAAAGTTTTTACCAAACAAGAAGAGGCTTCCTGGCACTCCCACTTCTTCCCGCTGCATGCACAAGGTATCATATCTATCGTTTCCTTTTTAAACTGAGAGTTGAAGAGTCTTTTCTTCCTTTACATAAATCAATTACAGTGATTTTATCCAAAATAGTATCAAATATTAATAGCTCAGATTCGCATGGAGGCCATGCACCCAGTCTTCGCGGGTGCACACCGGCCCTGTCCCACGCACCCTCCCTTTCCCTGCCTCTCCTGCACTCGCGGGCCCGGGATCCTCGCCCGGTCCACCCAACGCTCAGGCATGTCTCAGTTCGGGTTCTGCGCCGACCCAGGTCTGCAGAACTCCCGGTGCTAACTGTGTTCCTTTGCAGAAATTCAGGTTGCCTGGCGGGGCTGCTCTAACCTCTGAGCCGGGCGCTGACTTCTACCTCGCAGAACTCCAAAAGTCGCTGCCAGGTCAACGACCACAATGAACTGGCGAGGAGGTAGAGTGAGGTCGTTCCAGGAGCAGCTGAGAAATGTAGTTTCAGGTTACATTGGCCGGATCGCAGTAGCCTGTGGGAAATGTAGTCCGGAGCCTGTGGGAAATGTAGTCCGGAGCCGTCACACCGCCGAGCATGCGCGGCGCAGTCCACAAGTCCTCCCACCGGCGCCCGGAGACTTCTGGGAGCTCCCGTCCGGCTGAGAGTGCGCAGGCGCAGGCTCTCGCAGAGCTGGAAGCTGTAGACCTCCAAGCTGGGTGATTTTGGGGAGTCGGGGGGGCGACTGACACCTGAGGCCCGAAGTAGGTGGCCAGCTTCTTAGAGGGCCAACCCAGGGCAGTAACACACCAGGTCAGAAAAAGCAAAAACAAAAACAAAAAATGATAATGTATACCAAAATATGTTATTACTTTAACACAAAAATATGAAAACTAGGTGTTTGAAATTATCTTTCCGTACTGTTTGCTTTTCGCTACAGAAACACTATTATTCAACAGAACATTAATACGATTGAAAGGAATGAGGCACATCCCCCATATATCTCCCAACTTCCTGAGCCCAGCACAAACACATTCCTCCATATTTCTTTCAAACTTCAGAAAAACATCACCTGGGAGATCTCCGATAAGGAATGCTAAATGTATAATGTTAACCAATTGTAATGCTGTAACCGAGAGAATTACCTTGTTCCCTGTAACTTTACATATCCTGTTTACATCGGGCTATAAAAAGCAAGCACTCGCATTGTTCGAGGCCCTCTTGTATGCTGTGGAATGGGGGGACCAAGTTCGAACTTGTAGTAAAGATCCTTGCCGCTTGGCTTTGACTCTAGACTCTGGTGGTCTTCTTTGGGGAACAAACGGTCTGGGCATAACACCATTAATAGTGGCAATTTGACTGATCACCTGTGAGAAAAATATATTTCTGTTCTCTGATACAGAAATTTTAAGTTTCTATTAAATATTTAAATTTTGTGGGTTCTATCTAAGATGCTAAATGTAAGACCTTTTAAAAGGAGAGGAGAATGTAAATAAGACGAATCAAACAGACATTAACTATATGTAAAAGGCATTTATCTTTCTGTCCCATCATACGTTTAGGAGATATTTACTCTTCCTGGTTCCGTTTCCAGTAATACTTCTCCGTATTATCTGCCTGTAGCCTTTATGGCATTCTTCTTTTGGTTTATGTAATGCTAAAACTGAATACAGGCAAACGTGAAATTCACCTTGACTGTCAGCTCCGCTTTTGGTTTGTTTGCTTTGTTTTTGTTTTGTTTTGAGACAGGGTCTCCCTCTGTTGCTCAGACTGGAATGCAGTGGCGCGATCTCAATCTCGGCTCACTGTAATCTCCGCCTCCCAGGTTCAAGTGATTTTCCACCTCGGCCTCCAGAGTAGCTGGGACTACAGAGTAGTGGCCTCCAGAGGCGTGCGCCACTATACCTGGCTAATTTTTATGTATTTTTTGTAGAGATGGGGTTTTGCCATCTTGCCCCGGCTAGTCTCGAACTCCTGGGCTCAAGTGATCCACCCGCCTCGGCCTCCCAAAGTGCTAGGATGACAGGGTGAGCCACCGCGGCCAGCTGAGCTCTGTTCTTATTAAGCCCACATTACAGTGATTCCTGGTGTCAGTCCAGGGTGATGACATTGATACGGAAGCGGTGAAGGGGAGTGCTGGGGAGGGAAGGTCGGGGTCCCTTTAAATGATACGGAAGGGGGGAAGGGAAGTGCTGGGTACAGGAGGGTGTGGTCCCTGGCTAGGGCTCCACCCCTGGCCCTGTGCCCACTGACCTAGTTGAGGACAGGCATTTTTGTTTTCCTGCCCAAATTTTGCATTTCCCAAGACCGCCCTGGCCTGCCACGCCCCCATCCTGTTCCCGCCCCCATCCTGTGCCTATAAATACTCTGAGACCCTAGGAAGCAGACACACATGCCACCGGACATCGAGAGGAACATGTTGGCGGAAGAAGACGTGACAGACGCTGGCACGCGGGCAGGCCACCCACCAGAAGGACGCAGAGTTTGGCTGGGGCAGTCAGAGGAGAGCAGGTGCTGCGGAGCAGCCCGACTCCAGGGGAAAACCATCTCCCTTCTGGCTCCCCTAACTGTTGAGAGCTACTTCCACTCAAAACCCTGCAGTCAGCCTCCAAGCCCATGTGTGATCTGATTCTTCTGGTACACCAAGACAGGAACCCCGGGATACAGAAAGCCCTCTGTCCTTGCGATGAAGCAGGGATCTAATTGAGCTGACTAACATAAACCGCCTGCTGACGGCTAAACTAAAAGGGCACCCTGTAACATGCCCACTGGGGCTTCAGCTGTAAACATTCACCCCTAGACACTGCCATGGGTCGCAGCCCCACAGCCCACCCGTCTGTATATTCCCCTGGAGGTTTGAGCAGCGGGGCACGGAAGAAGCGAGCCACACCCCCATCGCACGCCCTGCCAGGAGGACAAGGGAACTTTTCCCTTATCAACATCAACCTAAATAACCTCGCAACAAAAGCATTTGACTGTGAATAGTTAGGATTTTTCCTACCAGCAGTAGCAGGTTTTTAGCCTTATTGGAATTAGTTTCTAGCTCTGCAAAAACGTTCGTCCGCTTTGTAATTCCAGGCTTTTTTGGTAGAGCAGCTGTTTGTTGACCAGTTGCTTCGCCTCTGTAAGTTCACCATGTAGGCTATTCATGTCTAAAGTGTCCATCATTTTCAAACCCTCTGAAACTCATTGGATATCTGTCATAATGTCTGAAGACAAATATTTCATTAACAAATAAGAAGGTGATAGACCTGGAGTGAGAATCCAGCCAGTTCATGTCAATCGGAGACAACTTTGCAAGATCCTGTGATTCCTGAACCAGATGTGGTCACTGATCACTTCTGTCCTGGAGGAAGTAGAGACATTCAAGACAAATAAGGACTCATCTATTCCCCTGATTAAAGGACTTTTCATAGAGGCTCCATTAGGGGCCAAATTATGTACACTGTGCTGTCTGAGATGGAGATGTGTAAATAGCCATCAAAATGTCATCTGGGCAGAAATTTGTGAGGATAAATTTATGTTCAGGAGTGAGGGGTGAATACAGTAGAAATTTTTTTTTTTTTTTTTTCTTTTTTTTTTGAGACGGAGTCATCGACTCTGTAGGCCCAGGCCCGGAGTGCAAGTGGGGCCGGATACTGCAGGCCTCACTCGCAAGCCTCCGCCTCCCGGGGTTCACGTCCATCTCTCCGGCCTCAGCCTCCCGAGTAGCTGGGACTACAGGCGCCCGCCACCTCGCCCCGGCTAGTTTTTTGTTGATTTCGTTCAGTACGAGACGCGGGCGGCTGTTCACCATGTTAGCCAGGTTGGTCTCGATCTCCTGACCTCATGATCTGCCCGTCTCGGCCTCCCAAAGTGCTGGGATTACAGGCTTGAGCCACCGTGCCCGGCCATACAGTAGAAATTTGTATTTTGCAGAGGGGAATGTGAGTTCCATGGTGGGTAGAAATGCAACAGATTAGTAGAATACTTAGAATCTCAAAGAAATGTTTAAATCACAGGTGTTTTTGAGAAAATTTTTGAAATGATTTTGAAATTATTTATTCAAAAAGTGCCCTTCAAATACCAAGTGCCCACTCCATAGATGACAGCTAAGGATCACAATCTTACTGCTATGCCCTTGTGTTTTGAGTGAAGACTTGCGTGACTATAGTGAGGTTCTAGGTGTTTAATCGTTGAGGGTAAATTGGAGATTTCAGACGAAGCTGTCTCAGGGAAGAGGGAGGAAGGATACTTACGAGCCCTACAGCTGGAATCTTAGCATCCAGTGGAAAATTACAGTCCCTGATCCCTCAGGAAATTTTCTCTGACCTCTGTCAGTGATGTTCTAATCCAGGAGAGCAGAATTTTTCCCCCATATGATGTTTCTCACTGCATTTCCTGAAATACGTTTCATCTAAGTTCCATATGTTTATCTGAAAAGAACAGCCACTTACCAAATTGTGTTTCCAACTAGGATAGTGGCCGCAGTTGTAGTATCTTGTGCATTTGTCGAGAGAGGTCATCTGAACACTGAGATAAAGTCTTGGGATTCCATGCTCTCATCTCTTTCTGGGAGTGATTTTCTTCTCATCTGTAAGTGCAGAGACTCTCATCTGTAAGTGCAGAGTCTTCAGGGGGAATTGAGATTACCTCCAAAAAACATTTGTGAAGTGAGCGATTCCCAGAAGGCTGTTAATGTTGATTAATGAAATTATACAAAAAGAATCATAAGGTAACTGGAGGAGAAAATTATCTGTGATGCCTGAGAAAAGATACGTCCCAGTGGGAGGTAAGTACAGAATACTGAGTTCTGAGATGTGAGGAAATTTAGTTGAGGTAATGGTTCTACTAGAATTGTGGCTACCATTAAATTTTTGTTCCTTCAGATTATGATTTATTTCTCTTCCTGATAACATTGAACAATCATAAATGTGGAAGGAAAGGAATTGTTGAGGGTAGATTTAGAGAGAGTAAACAGGTGCAAAGCCATGGTTCCCATGTGTTTTAACAAATACTAACTGAGCACCCGCCCTGTTGCAGATGCTTTCTAGATGTGTGAACAAACAAAGAAATGTATCTACCTTAATCTGAGTTGAGAGAAGCACACAATAAATAATAAAGGAAATGTTATAAGTTACATAGTGACTTATAAGGTGTTATAAGTTATGTAACCTATGTTACATATCTGTAACTTATGTTATAAGTTACATAGTGACTTATGAGGTGAAAAGTGCAATAGGAAAGGAAACATGAAGAGCAGAACCGAGTGATGAGGAGCCTGTGGAGTAGGAGGGACTCCAGTAGGGAATAGAGGGGGTAGGGTTGATCTCATAGGGAAAATGATACTTGAGCAAATATTTAAAGGAGGCGAGGGAATGAGTGATTTGGAGACACATGAAGATGTTCCATGAAGAAGTGGTCAGAACAATGCCCTTTTGGCAGGAGGATGCCCACATTTATTGACTAGTTAATGTGAGAAGATAAAATCTAGGGTTTCCTCCCCAACTTGGGACCACATTGAAGGTCTTTTACAGATCCAGAGCTTCCTGTGGGATTGGCTGAGGCCTTTGTTGTGAATGTATAACATGTCTACTCCCTCTGCCCAATACTGTTTACTTCCTTCGCCTTCCCCAGGTACTGAGGCCAAGAGCCATTCCAAATAATTGTCCTGTGTGATAATCTCCATCTGAATGTCTGCTTGCCTGTGAACCCAACCTGTGATACAGTTAAATTAATTTGATGTTATCAAATATTTGGTTGAATTGTTAAAGCAAGCAATCTACGTATGTAAGTAAAGAAAGTATCAAGCCAGGCGCCGTGGCTCACACCTGTAATCCCAGCACTTTGGGAGGCCAAGGCGAGCAGATCACGAGGTCAGGAGATCGAGACCATCCTGGCTAACATGGTGAAACCCCATCTCTACTAAAAGTACAAAAAATTAGCCAGGCGTGGTGGCAGTCACCTGTAGTCCCAGCTACTCGGGAGGCTGAGGCAGGAGAATGGCACGAACCCGGGAGGTGGAGGTTGCAGTGAACCGAGATTGCACCACTGCACTCCAGCCTGGGCAACAGAGCGAGACTCTGCCATCTCAAAAAAAGCAAAAAAAAAAAAAAAAAGCAAAAAAAAGAAAGAAAGTATTAATATAGGAAAAGGCTATCAGAAATAGAGAGAGCAGAAAATCTTTTGTACTGCAGATTCAGAGGAAGACCAAGAAGCTGTGTTTTGAGTCATTGATTTAACAGCCAGCGTGACAGAGTGAGACCCTATCTCAAGAAAAAATAATTATAATAAAAGGGTCAATTTAGACTAGGAGAATTCTGAGATCTCCTGGGCTTTTTCAGATGGTAGACTGAGGGCTGAAATTGGAGTCCAGTGGCCCATCTAACTGCATATTTCCATATGCAACTTCTATTTTGTGGAAATCAGAAGAGTTTAAAAAGCTAATAGGGGAATATAAGGACACAGGGAGTTTACCCATGAAAACATTTTAGATCTGGAGAGCCACTCTCTAAAACCACTAGCCTGGCATTGGTGCCATTCACAGTTTCCAAGTGGAAGTGGACAAGCATTTTAAAGGTATAGGGAAGGACTTTTCTCCAGCTGACATGGTGGCAGCAAATTACGTGTAAGCGTGACAACTAGAAATCATATTTTGTCCCAAACCGACATATAACATGTTCTGTCAGTGCAGGTGTCCCCCAAAGGGAAGATACAACAATAGGATTAGACGCAAGGGAATTGTTGGGGAAAAGCACCTTTAAAGGATAAAGGGAAGCTAGAAGTGCAGAGAGAGAGCTTTCAGAACCCTGGCTGGGTGTGGTGGCTCATGCCTGTAATCCCAGCACTTTGGGAGGCCGAATCAGGCAGATCACATGAGGTCAGGAGTTCAAGACCAGCCTGGCCAACATGGTGAAACCCCATCCCTACTAAAAATACAAAATTAGCCAGGCATGGTGGCACATGCCTGTAATCGCAGCTACTTGGTAGGCTGAGGCAGGAGAATTGCTTGAACCTGGGAGGTGGAGGTTGCAGTGAGCTGAGATCACACCACTGCACTCCAGCCTGGATGACAAGAGTAAAACTCTGTCTCAAAACAAAACAAAACAAAACAAAGCAAAACTCAGTACTTGTGGGATTCCTTTTGTGTTATTATATATATATATATATAATTTGGCCCCTTCTTCCTGCCCACTGCACAGAAAAAAATCAATCCGCTGAGACCATGGCTTTGCAGTAAAGAAAAAGTTTGATGAGAGGCTGACCATGCCACGAGGAGATGGAATTATTAGTCGTCAATCTCCCTGAAATTTGGAGGCTGGGGTTTTTCAAAGATATTTTGTTTTTTTTGTTTTTTGTTTTTTGTTTTTTTTTGAGATGGAGTCTCGCTCTGTCGCCCAGGCTGGAGTGCAGTGGCCGGATCTCAGCTCACTGCAAGCTCCGCCTCCCGGGTTTACACCATTCTCCGGCCTCAGCCTCCCGAGTAGCTGGGACTAGAGGCGCCTGCCACCTCGCCCAGCTAGTTTTTTTATACTTTTTAGTAGAGACGGGGTTTCACTGTGTTAGCCAGGATGGTCTCGATCTCCTGACCTCGTGATCCACCCGTCTCGGCCTCCCAAAGTGCTGGGATTACAGGCTTGAGCCACCGCCCCCGGCCTTTCAAAGATATTTTGGTGGGCAGGGGACTAGGGAATGGGTGCTGTTGATTGGTTGGGGAATGCAGTCGTAGGGATGAGGAAAATGGTCCTCGTTCACTAAGTCTGCTTCTGTGTGGGGGCAACAGGACTGCTTGAGTCACAGGGTGGGTGGAGCCATCTGGTTGTCAGAAATGCAAAAGCCTGAAAAGACATCTCAAAAGGCCTTAGATTCCACAATAGTAATGTTAATTACCATTAACATAGTAATTAACACAGGAGGAGCTGGGGAAGTTGCAGATCTTGGGACCTCTGGAATAATGGCTGGTAATTGTTTAACTACACCTACATCTTAGTACAATTCAGGCCCCTCTGATTTTCCTAACCTGGTAGCCTTTCATTAGTTTTACAAGAGTGGTTTAGTTCTTGGGAAGAGCTATTGTCTTCCAAAGTCAGGATGACTTATGCCCAGGAATGACCAAGGGCAGTTTGGAGGTTAAAGGCAAGATGGAGTTGGCCAGAATTTTCTCTTACAATTTTTTGCAAAGGCAGTTTCATATATATTGGTTTTCATCCACCGCTCCGGGCTCATAACTCTCGTAGCTCTTGTTACAGTCTTTTGTTATAATGTTGGGTGTGTTGGGCCTGAAGGGCAGGCCTCAGGAAACAGAATCTCCCTCCTGCCCTCATTTAATCTGTCCCAAGGCACGATTGTAATCTTCCTGTGAAAAGTAAAGTAGAGGTTTCTCTTCAAAGATTTTCCTCCCCATCTAATTAGGAATAAATAGTAACTTCTCTTAGAAGCAAAATTTATTCAAAGACCTGTGCTAACATTCTTAAATATCTGCTAACCATAATAAAGAAATCAATGTACTTTATGTTGTTAGCTCCCACAATTTAGCCTAAATATTTGCCCTGGCATGCTTATACTGGTCCAAGCAAGCATTAGGTCATAGCGTGTTCCTCTTCCTTATTTGAAGGTGTTTTTACTGTTCTCAGCATTCCACAAGTTACTTCCTCCTTCCTTTGTTCTCCTCTGCCTTTGCCTCTTAAAAAGTTCTAAGTTGCTAGCCAATCGGGACAAATACAGAATGTGAGGTCCCGTTCCAGCCAATGGAACTGGACACAGCAGTAGGGTGGACGCATCAGGTTATAAATGACCCTGTCTCCTTTGTTCAGTGTACTCTCGTGGCAAAACTGCTGGCGAGTGTACCCTTTCTGCAGAAAGCATAAAAATGGCCTTGCTGAGAAAACTAAATTTATGTTCAAGTGCTATTTCTTTATGGCACCAGGAAAGAAGCATTTCAAACATTCCCCTGCCTTTCTGATTGTGAGTCTTAAGACCCTCCCTTGAGAGGGTCCTGCCTCATATGCTGGAGGAAGGAATGCTTCAATAAGAACCCAAGACAGCTGGCTTTGGAGAGCTTTCAGATAGCTGAACACATGGAGGTTCCTGGAGGATGGTGCGCATGGGGAGGGCATGGAAGCTCTGTGCTCCTTCCCCCATACCATCTCTTCATCTGTGTCCTTTGTAATGCCCTTTATGATAAAGTATAATAGTAAATGTAAATAAGTGCTTCCCTGAGTTCTGTGAGCTGCTCCAGCAAATTAATCAAACCTGAAGAGGGGGCCGTGGGAACTGTAACTTGAAGTCTGTTGGTCAGAAGTTCTGGAGAACTGGACTTGTGATTGGTGTCTGAGGGTATGGGGCGGCGGGGGCAGTCTTGGGGACTGAGACTATCACCTGTGGGATATGGAGCTATCTCCAGGTAGGTAGTGTTGGAACTGAATTGGAAGACACCCAACTGGTGTCCACTTCTTGGTGTGTGGGGAAAACCCCCACATTTGGTCACAGAAGGCTTATTCTATGTTGATGATTGTGGTGGTGGTGTGAGTGCAGAGGAAAAACACGGTTGGAGAGAGTTTTTCCTCCACCTGTGAAAGCAGTGAAAGAAGGAAGGACTAGGTAGCAAATGAGTCACATCTCAGCACACTTCTGATAACTTTTTGACCAGGCTAGTGGGGAGTCCTGGAGCCACACAAACCCTGTAGAGGATTATCCCATTGGGCAGGAAAGGCCAGATTCTTGTACCTTTGCTGTACATGGTCATTAGATGGGAGGAGCCTAGGGGAAGGGAGGCCTGGAATAAACCCTGTGGTGGATCTAAAGCACAGCTCCTGGAAGCTGTCCATTAGTTGTGCCTGTGCCCCCACAGGTCTCATGAAGGTAGATCCAAGGGAGCACTTCCATGGCCACCACAGTCCACCCCTGGTGCTGCACAGAGCCACTTCCCTGGGCACATTCATGGAGCAGCTCTTCCAAAGTCCCCAGGGGGAGCAGCCATGACTGCTAGCTAGTTCAAAAGGATCCTGCTGTGTCCCAGTCAACAGTGGCCTCTTTTGGAATTAGGACCACTAACCCAGCAGATCCTAAAGGTATGGGTACTCCAAGCTAATGTCTCATTTCTAGCATCTGAGCTTTTATGACATGATATATAGAAGTTGTCTCTTTGTAATAGCTTATGAAAGTGACAATATTTCTCAATATTTTAGAGGAAGTTTCTGATCATGGCAGGGTATCGGTAAATATTCTTTCTCCTTACCTCCAAGGATATTCCTTGTGGTCAGTCCTGCCAAAATGGGAGGGCACATGGCCAGTCCTTGAAGTGCTCTGAGAAGTAGTCTTTGGGAACAACAAGTGGAGCTCACATAGCACCTTTCAACTGCAAAGATACAAACTTGGAGTCAACCTGTTCTGTTCCCTGAAGACCCTCGCAGTCACCCTTGCTCACTAGGCTTCTTAGAGACTGCTCTGGCCAGCTCTTCCCCACACAAGTAGTCAGGCTGGAGGTTCTACTGCTTTCTATGAAGGTCAGCACTTGTTCTTTCCCCTCTGGAACATGTTAGTACCACCTTCACAATGCTCTCTTTCCCTGTTCTGAAGAACACACTTCAAAGGGTCCCCAAAGAGCATGGTGGGATATGTCCCCATATCTGAGGACAGGATCCGGGTCCTGAGAATCACCCCAAGAAGTGCTGAAGTGGCCCAGAACACAGTGTGGAGTGGCACTTCCTCTGCACACCTCTGCAGAGTGGCCAGTTCTCTACTGGGATGCCATTTCCTTTTTTTCTCTGTCAATTTCCTCTTCTCAAAATAACACATTTCCCCTCCCTCCCTCTCTCTCTCTCTTTTTATTTTCCTTCCTTCCCCTTTCCCTTCCCTCCCCCTCCCTTCCCTCCCCTCCCCTTCCCTTCATCTTGCTCTGTTGCCCAGGCTGCAGTGCAGTGGTGCGATCTTAGCTCACTGCAACCTCAGCCTCCCAGGTTCAAGTGATTTTCCTGCCTCCTGAGTAGCTGGGACTGCAGGTGCGCACCACCACATGTGGCTTTTTTTTTTTTGCATTTTTAGTAGATATGGGGTTTTGCCATGTTGGCCAGGCTAGTCTTGAGCTGCTGACCTCAAGTGATCAGCCCACCTCAACCTTCCAAAGTGCTGGGATTACAGGCATGAGCCACCACACCCAGCTTCATCTTTCTGTCTTGGCCTTCTGTCTTTTCATTGTTCTGTCTACATTATCTGTGATTTCAGTTTTATTTTTATTTTCAGAAGTTGGCCAGTAGATATGAATAAGGAGAAGGAGTGTTTGTATGTTGACATATACTCTCCGAAATGTAGGATGAATGTATTTTCCCAGACTGAGTGTTGATATACATATAGGAAAAATCTCACAAAACAGGATGCAAATAAAATCAAATGATGGATCAAAAAACAGTAACACAGAGGCCATGCAGGATTTCCATATCCTTAAATGATGATCAACTTATTAATTGATAGATCTTTTAATTTTATTATTATTGTTATAATAATAATTATTATTATTTTTGAGATAAGAGTTTCCCTCTTGTTGCCCGGGCTGGAGTTCAGTGGTGTTATTACAGTTCACACTCAAACTCCTGGGCTCAAATGATCCTCCCACCTCACCCTTCCAAGTAGTTGGGACTATCGGCATGTGCCACCACACCCGGCTAGACCTTTTAAGATTTTTATACTTATAAGACTGTTTATTTATTTAGAGACAGGGTCTTACTTTTTCACCTAGGCTGGAGTGCAGTAGTGCAATCACGGCTCACTGCAGCCTCCATCTCTTGGGCTCAAGCAATCCTCCTGCCTCAGCCTCCTGAGTAGCTAATACCACAGGTATGTGCCACCACACCTGGCTAATTTTTAAATTTTTTGTAGAGACAGGGTTGCTATATTGACCAGGCTGGTTTTGAACTCCTGGGGCTCAAGCAGTCTGCCTACCTCAGCCTCCCAAAGTGCTGGGATTACAGGCATGAATGCTTGGCCTTATAAGATTATTTAAACAATCAATCTAAACTTTATATTTTCTTTAATAATAAAACATTGCTTTATTATTAACTGTTTAAAAATATTAATAATAAAATGCTTAATGTTTTTTCTACTTTAAAAATGTTATGCAACCCCTTGTTCTGTCAAAGCTAATTCATTGTTCTTCAAGGTTGTTGTTACCTTCCTGCTCCTACCTGATTATCATGTGCAACCCAGGGAGCAGATTCATTCTTCCTATTCTTAGTATCTTTCATCCATATCTGAAACTCTTTAGTGTACTCAAATTCTTCGTATATCTTTTGTTTGTTACTGACATAAAAAGGGAAGAATACACATTTCTAGGTAAAAAATGGTCATATAAAAAATCCCAGGATATATATACATATATGTCACATGCGTGTGTGTGTATGTTTTTCTCCTAGATGAAATGGACAAGTCTTGGAAACACACAAGCTACCAAAACTGACTCAAGAAGAAATAGAAAATCTGAATAAATTTTAAGAGACTGAGCCAGTTTTCAAAAACCCCACACAAAGAAAAGCCCAGACTGGATGACTTCTCTGATGAACTCTAAGCACAGCAACATGAACCTAGTGGGAGCAGCAGATGGAAAGGAAATAGAGACAGGCTAGAGGTAATGTTCCATCACTATTGCCAAATCTGAGCCATCACTGTCCCTTGCCCTGACTACAGCCTTAGCCTCTTGGTGTTCTCCTGGCTTCCATGCTCCTGCCCAGCTACAGAACAATGCTGTCAGAATGGCTATTATTAAAAAGTCAACAGATGCTAGCAGAGTTGCAGAGAAACAGGAACAGGAATTTTACACAGTTTGTGGGTGTGTAAATTAGTTCAACCATTGTGGAAGATGGTGTGGTGATTCTTCAAAGATCTAGAACCAGAAATACCATTTGACCCAGCAATTATATACACAAAGGAATATAAATCATTCTGTTACAAAGATACACACACATGTATGTTCACTGAGGCACTATTCACAATAGCAAAGACATGGAATCAACCTAAATGCCCATCAGTGGTAGACTGGATAAAGAAAATGTGGTACGTATATACCATGGAATACTATACAGTCATAGAAAGGAATGAGAACACGTCCTTTGCAGGGACATTGATGGAGGTGGAAGCCATTATCCCCAGCAAACTAACTCAGGAACAGAAAACCAAACACCACATGTTCTCACTTATAAGTGGGAGCTGAACAATGAGAACACATGGATACATGGAGAGGAACAACACACACTGGGGCTTGTTGGGGAGTGCAGTGGGGGAAGGGAGAGCATTAGGAAAAATAGCTAATGCATGCAGGGCTTAATACCTAGGTGATGGGTTGATAGGTGCAGCAAACCACCATGGCACACGTTTACCTATGTAACAAACCTGCACATGTATCTGGAACTTAGAATAAAAATTAAAATAAAATAAAAAAAACCTAAGTCCTCCAATCATTCCCATCTCTAAGTTAAAGGCCCCTTTCTTATGACTTCTAACTAGGCCTTCATAGACTGTGCCCTGTCCTCTGCGCTCTCCTCCTCTTGCTGTCATACTTGGCTCCATGCTATCTCCATTGGCTTTAATATCTACTCCCTGGGACCCCGGGCAGCCTTCCTCTGGGTCTTTGCAGTGGCTATTCCCACTCTCTGGGTTGTTCTTCTGTCAGATATCTGCGTGGTTCCCTCAACTGCCTGCTTCTTGATTTTGCTTAAATTTCACCTTCCTAGTGGGACCCATTCTGTCCATCCTGTGTAAAAACAGACACCCATGATTCTCCTTACTCCCAAATTTAGTTTCCCACAAACTGCTTTATCCTCTATAGCACTCATTAACTAGCTAATCTACAAAATAATGCACATGTTTTTTATGTGTGTTGTTCCTGTTCTCCCCCCGCCCCATTAAGATAGAGGCACCAATAAGGCAGGGATTTACCTTTTTTTGCAATTGATGCTACTTGAAATTGTCCCAAGTATGTCCTTGATATTCAATAAGTATGTTAAATTGATAAATGAGCCGGGTGCAGTGGCTCACACCTGTAATCCCAGCACTTTGGGAGGCCGAGGTGAGTGGATCACCTGAGGGTCAGGAGTTCGAGACCAGCCTAGCCAACATGGTGAAACCCCATCTCTACTAAAAATACCAAAAAAATTAGCTGGGCATGGTGGAGGGCACCTGTAGTCCCAGCTACTCAGGAAGCTGAGGCAGGAGAATCGCTTGAACCCAGGAGGCAGAGATTGCAGTGAGCCGAGATCACGCCACTGTACTCCAGCCTGGGCGACAGTGAGACTCTGTCTCAAAAAAAAGAAAAAAAAAAATAGATAAATGAATGAATGGCCTTCTGAGTAGTACCTGGACTTCACAGCTAAAAACTGAACTCACTATATGTTTGTCCAAATGACTCATGTCCATTTGTCCAACCAGATGGCTAGAATAGCCCTGGCCTTGCTGTCACTTACTCTACTTTATCTTCTGTTGCCTCCTCGCCATCCCCACTGTCAAGTCCTCACCTTTGCTTTAGTCACAGCTTTAGCCATTGTCTCACTTTGCTTTAGTCACTGCAAGGAGTCCTTAGCCTCCTCACCTCTGGTGTGACACCCATCTAATCTCCCTCTCAGGTAGCCACAGTGTATTTCTCAAGTGTACATAGAATCATGCCACTTTTTTTTTGTTCCCAATCCCTTGGTGACTCCCTATATGCTCAGGATAATGAACAAATGTCCCATGATTGTATATATATTTGTCAAAATGTGTCCTTGCCAAATGCCGCAGCCACATCTCCCACTTTGGTTTCAGTTTCTACGCATACCTGACTATCTTCCTGGTGTCCCACTGGCTCTCTTTTTTCCCTGCCTCTTCACATGCCATTTTCTTGACCTTGGAAATAGCCCTTTTCCACCTACTTGGCTGTTCTTCCTTCTTTAAGGTGCAGTTCATGTTTTATCTCCCCCAGACTTAGTTTTACGTCCTTCTTCCTTACCTGCTCCCTTCTCCCTATCACCATTCCTTCTGGTTGTTCATTTATCTCCCACACTGCCTTGTAAATTCTGCTGGGGTGAAAGAGGTCTTCTTCTTCTTCTTTTTTTTTTTAATTTGAGACAGGGTTTGACTCTGTCACCCAAGTTGGAGTGCATTGGTGCAATCACAGCTCACTGCAGCCTTGACCTCCTGATCTCAAGTGATCCTCCTGCTCTAGCCTCTCGAGTATCTGGGACTACAGGTGCCTGCCGAGCCCAGTTAATTTTTTTAATTTTGTAGAGATGGGGTCTTACTATGTTTCCCAGGCTAGTCTCCGGCTCCTGGCCTCAAGTGATCCTCCTGCCTCAGCCTCCCAAAGTGCTGGGGTTATAGGCATGTGTCACTGTGCCTGGTTAAGAGATGTCTTTGAACTCAATATGAGTAAGGCCTGAGAAAGACTCTCATGTAGAATCATAACTGTTTTATAAACTAATATGTAAGGAGCTGAGGAAATGCTTGTATGCATCACTTTCACTAGCTTCTGATGGTTCTTCTGGCATATGAAAATATTTTACTTTAGCACATAAGTCTAGCAGAGATGAGAACTGCTCTACCATCAGCCAGATCTGGATGAAATTGTAGCACTTGTGGGGTAATATTTTAGGGGTTTAGAGTACAGCCAGCCTAGTTAGTTTTCCAAATAGGTCTCATCTGGGCATTTCCTTGATTTTTTTTTTTTTTTTTTTTGAGATGGGAATCTTGCTTTGTCACCAGGCTGGAGTGTAGTAGCGCGATTTCGGCTCACTGCAACCTCTGCCTCCTGGTTCAAGTGATTCTCCTGCCTCAGC